GTGTTCCCAAAGCGAGAAATGGGGGAACACTTATCAAAGTCCTTAATCCCACAGCTGCCAGGGTATTCCCAAAAAGTGAAAATTGTGGAAACAGTGGGAACGACTCAGAAAAGTCCCTAATCCCAGAGTTGTCAGGATGTTCCCAGAGCAAGGGATTCAGGAACAGTCCCACCCCCACCCTTGCCCGGGCACAGCCCATCTCAAAACCTCAGCACAGTTTGAGTCTGCACTCGAAATTCTGACTTTAAAGAAAAGCTATTTATACATTTCAGGGTGAAATCAGTGGAGAAATCTTAATTTCTTCCCAGTGCTCTCATTGGGATTCTGGAAAATATTTCCTTGCTGGCAGCAATGTGCACCTTGCTGTTGCTTAGATTATCCCTGGAGGATTCCTATTTCAGTCCTAAAAATTAAGCGAGGCAAGGCAAGGAGGGGATTCTTCAGCTGAAGAATTCCTTTTCACAAAGATGAGTGATTTCCAAAGGTAAAAAATAGCAAAGGATGTTACTTGAAAGAGGCAGGATCACGTTTGTGGAGCTTCCAGAAGAGTTTGCACGCTGTTAACATTTCACTGTGCTGGTGAGAAAATCAGCTTTTAAGTACTTGCAACAGAATTTTTATTGTTCCTAAATGATAGAACAGGAATGCTGGCAGCCTGTCCTGACTTAATTCAGTATCTTTTTAAAGGAGGCTTTATAAATCCCTGACTGAAGGATTATAAAGTACCTTAGCAGCTACTTACAGGTAATTATTGGAGTTTATTTGAATAAGCTGATTATTGTAGCATGCATGTGTTCAGAATTTAGGTGAGAACAGCCCAGCAGGAATTGTTTTATTTTCATATTCCTTTGCCTTAGGGACAGCTCAATCTTTTACTGCAACTGCAGCTTTTCTTTATGACCAGATGTTTGTGATACAGGAAGAAATGGAATGAAAAAATCTCTTGCAGGAGACTTAAAATATTTCAAATGTATCTGCACAGCCTCATCCCGTGGCAGGAAAATGAGATTTAACCCCTGCCATCAAACCAGAGGCTAAATTAGAGTTTATGCTTTACTAAAGAGATGTATTTTTTACCTTTGGAATATAAAATAAGTGAAATTTCAGTGACCTGAAGCACATTTTAGGTGGCTTTGGTCTTCATTGCTGGGTGTCTGTCCTGTGAGTGTTCCACAGTGCAGGGGTGGAATTCCAGGTGCTGCAAGCTGGGATAGAAAAAATATTGCTAAGGTTTCATCCCTCACTTTTCCTCCTAGATATAAAAAAGCTGTCTGAATCGAAGACTTTAATATTTTGTTTTATTTTTTATTTGCACACCACGAGACTTTATATAAAAAAAAAAACCTACTTGTATCCTGTTAGAGGCCAGTAAAAGCCAGCAATTAGTTTGTGTTTTTAGGCTTTCCTGGGTTATTCCCTGGATCACAAGTGTGGAGCATCCTGATAAAGCTCGTGAGTTTTATCTATGCATGGCTAAATTTTAGTCTTAATATCCTGTAGTGCCTGTAGAGCAAAGGTAGCTAGCAGTGGGTTTGGGAGGGGAGGAGCTGCCAGGGGTTTACAGCTAAATCCACTTGGTTGCATGAAATTCTTTCACAGCCCAGAATTTTTTAGGAATCCCAAAATTCTGGTGGTAGAGCTGCAATGGAAATGGAACTCCCAATTGGAATTGCTTTGCCAATGAATTCAGTGTAAACCCAGCTGTTCCAGTCCCAGTTCTCTCATCTGCAAAGCCATATTTTTTAGAGTAGTGGGATGTGATGTGGGAAGAAATTCCAGTGGTTGGGACAGCAGGCACGTGGTGGAGGCTTTGTCTCAACTCCTGAGTGGATACAGAGTAGATTTAAGTGCAATTGATTGAAAAATAGATGAAGATGCTGTAGCTGATTTTTTTGCTCTGCTGAACTCTTTTTAAGAACTCCAATTTGTGCAGCTCTCAAATCAATATGAATGGGGCTGATCCAGCTGGAATTCCAAGCCCTGTGAACAAAAAACAAAACAAAACAAAACAAAAAGAAATAATTGGGGTATGACTGTGCAAATTGAGCTGTTCCTTAAAAATTGGAGCAGAAGAGCTCGGAACAAAGGCCTAGAACCCTCCTGTGCTGTGCTGCATGTGCTCTATGGTCATAGCTGTGTATTACAAAGACCTTTCACCAGACTGGTACTGGCTCAATTCATGTATTTTGGTATTTGAAAGAAATTGATTACCTCAATTTTTATCATTTATTTTTGAACTGTGACTTTCAACCAGAACGAAAAAGAAAAAAAAAAAAAAAAA